CGTTCGTTTAGTGACCGTTCCAAGTTACAACGCCACCACTGGAGCAAATGGCTTCTGACTATTTTTCACAGGGCCGTCGCAGCATTACGTGGTCAGACCTTTGGCCGCCGACTCGTGTTTATGACGGTCGCAATGCCCTGTGACCTTCTGGCAAGCCAAGTCAGTGGGGGGAGGAAGCCGGATTCTCTTAACAACCGTAACCCTGACTTAAACCACTGCAGCGATTCGCTTAACAACGGAGGCAGGAATTGAGCCACCAATGTCCATGGCTCACCAAAACAGCGAATGGGTTTTGCTCCATTTTACAACCGTTCCTCCCGTTGTTCAGCGAATCACCGCAGTATTGAGTTAGTGCAATACATGGAAGTTGCCAGACGCCCAAATTTTGATCCAGTGACCGTGAGGAAGCGACAGTGCCAGGATTGGTGGCATGTTGCCTTTTCCGGGGCCGTTGTAACTTGTGAGCAGTCACTAAATGAGTGGTTGTAAGCCTGTAGGCCCCCAATATCTCTGCTGGAAAAGAGTTGAGAGCCTGGGGGGGGGGCAAAGGCCGGGTGGGAGTCCAAGGGGGCTTGGGAGGACCTCTGCCTCCCCCAGACCCTTCTCCTGCTCCTCCCAGACCTCTGGTGACCCCCTGGCCCTCCCACCCCGCCTCCTCTTTCAGATCCTGAAACAGAACAACACCCGGCTGGAGAACCGGACTCAGCTGGTCACCATGTGCCACATGGGGCCCAAAGTCTTCATCAACTGTGCTGGCTTCATCAAGATCGACACGGCCTCGCTGGGAGACAGGTGGGTGCTGCCTTGAAGATGGATGAACTTCAACTCCCAGAATTCCCCTGCTGGCAAGTCCTGGGCTGGGTGTGGCTGCTGCAGAGTCCCACAGGGCGCCCCCCCCAATGCTTCTGGGGCGACTCTCTCTCTCTCTCTGCCCAGTGTCTCCGCAGACCCGCTTGGTCCCTTGTTGGGTTAAAGTTATTTAAATTTGCCTGCTGCCCTTTTGGCCGCAGGCATCACATCACAAATACAAGCAACGCCGACTCTTTGTATAAACAAACTTTATTGATTTTTTTCCCCCCCCCCGAAATAAACAAACATACAATTATGGCATAAGTCAATAATACAATTAATAAAAAAAAACAAACTAAAAAAAACCTCCCATTCTAAGATGCTCAGTAGCCTCACAGGAACACATTCCCTCTCTTCAACCTCCTTCCCTCCTTCCTTCTACCTCCTTCCCTCCTCTCTTCCCTCTCAACCACTCTACTCTACACATCCCCCCTCCTTCCCTCCTCCTCTTCCAAGTGCGGTCCTGTAGGTCAATCGAGCCTCCATTCTTGTACTAAAAAACCTCCTATTCTAAAATGCTCAACAGCCTCACAGGACCACATTCCCTCTCTCCAACCTACTTCCCTCCTCCTTCTTTCTACCTCCTTCCCTCTTCCCTCTCAACCACTCTACTCTACACATCCCCCCTCCTTCCCTCCTCCTCTTCCAAATGTGT